AGTTGGAATTCAGAGCTAAAGTATTCAAAATTGGCTCACATTTGTTCATTTTGTGATGAGGAAATTTAGACCTAGCACTATGGGGAGACTTAACGACGTGACAGGCTCTGGGCAGAGCTAAGGATGAGGTGCCAAGCTGGGAGAGGTGATGATGCAGTACAGATCTCCCAACTCTCTGTCCACCACTCTCTGTCCACTTGGATTCCTCAGAGGCTCCATGTGTGACAGTGGCTGAAGCTCAAAGTGCTTATAGTATGGCCCTCAGAGGGACCCCCATGTGTCTGTCTGATTGCCACAAATAAAGGCAGCCCAGCCTTGAGTGACAGCAGGCAGTGCTGTTGTCACAGCAAGGATGTCCCATCAGGAGGCCAAAGAGAGGGTGGGCACGGGCTGCGGTGGGGGGTGGGTGGGTGGGGTGTGGTCCTGGTTCTGACTCCCTTGGCGCTGTGACCCCAGGCATTTAGGGTACTAGTTCTCCCAGGTGTCAGATGGTGCCATTGTCTTCACCTGTGATGCTCTTGACCTAGGGCTTGGGAGAGTGGGGTAGTGTCTCCTGGGGACCTCAGCAAATCTGTTACAGACACACTTCCATGAAGGGGAGGTGCCACATTCCCCACCCTCACTTATGTGCAGCTCCTGTAGATTGGGAACTTGGGAGCAGAAGTGAGAGGCCAGGTAAAACTATATAACACACAAGGCAGGAAGACTAGGAAGGGCTGTTGCTCTGCAGCTCCACTTGTACCCTTGTACTGCTGGGAAGGAGACACGGAAGGAGACACTGGGAAGTGACACATGGGTGAGAGACTCATGGGGAGGCTGACCATGGCAGCCCTTATCTTGATGTATCTCCTTTTGTCCCAGCTTTCTGGGACATGTCACTGGGCTCCACATGTCACAGGAGAAAAAACGTGGGGATAAAGAGAGCAGGAAAAGGAGGAGATGGAGGGGAGAGGAAGCAGAGCATTATAGTTCTTTGGAGGCACTGAGTCTACAGTGAAAGGATTTGGTGACAACACCCTCTCCTATGGTTCCCTGCCAGAAGTTGCCTTGGACTTGCTGCAAACTTTCAGCAGCCCCACTTCAGGCTGACCTACAAGGGGAAGGGTAATTTGGGGTGTTTTATTGGAAAACCCTTCTTAGGAACTTTCTTCTCTCTCTCTGTATGCACACTAATTCTATTAAAGAACTTTCACATTGTCTTTATGTGATGGGTGGCAGATCCATTTAGAGTGCGTAAGTTTTAGGGTTCATGGATGCCCTTTGGTTGCCAATGAACAAATCCAAAATAAAGGTCCCTTCTGTGGGCTTGTGGGTGGATAACACCAAACACTCCCAGCCTTTCATGCTCAGGGAGGGCTAGATGGAGTTGAAGGTTTCCAGGATTTGATGTTGATGGAATTTAGTTACTATGTTGCTAGAAATGACTCAACCCCACCACCGCAAAGTCTGGATGCTCCTCATGTGCCCTCAGATAGGTGGTCCCTCAGTTCTAGGAGGATGCTTAGCTGCCAGCCCATTTTCCTCTGGAGTCAGTCCTGGTTTTCACCTCCCATCTCCCTTATGGGATTGGACCCTCTGGTCCTGGGAGTGCTGTGTGTTGTAGATTAGCCCCAGGGCATGGGTGGATGCATGCTTAGCCCCAGGTATCTGGGGTGCACTGCTACAAAGGTTATGCTGTAGCTGTATGGGAACCATCCAGAACCCTTTGCAGCCATGTCATCACCACTGAGGTCATGGGAACCAAGCAGAAGGCAAGCCCTATCACCTTTGTGAAGCCACTCCCACACTCCAACTGACTGGCTTCTCTCCTTCTTCCAAGCCATTTCAAGGCCATTATGGATCTCAATTTGGTTTTGCTTTGCATTTCAGTTTATCTGAGCTAGTGTCTGTCATTCTGCCTCTTCCCACTATTCCCTAGGTTGTGACCTTGAGCACAGGCACTATGTCTGGTCCATCCTGTTGAGACTGCAGTCCTCAACAGTGGGAAGTGCACACATATCACTCACTGCATGTCACAGATGAGAAGACATGGGGATAAAGAGAGCAGGAAAAGGAGGAGATGGAGGGGAGAGGAAGCAGAGCATTGCAGTTCTTTGGAGACACTGAGCTTACAGTGAAAGGATTTGGTGACTCAGAGCTACCTCTTGCTGAGCGGAGGAGGTGGGTCTCCCAGGGGATCCATTATCAACAAGGAATAGTCAAGTGCTGTAGCTCTGAGGAACGTGGGTGGTGCCTTTGTGGGTTACCACATTGTGCCATTGTGGGTTACCACAGAGGCATTTGTTGAAGGGGTGTTGTTTGTTGGTGGACTACAACCTGATAAGCTCTGGAGGCAGAGCCAAGGCTGTGCCTCTTTCTAACTGTGTGGCCTTGGGGGAGGTCTGTCCTCACATGGAAAGCAGGGACCACAGCACTTGTCTCTAAGCACTGTGAGGGTTGGCTCCCACTGTAGTATCACTGTTCCAACTTGAACTTCAAGCCCAAGCTACTAGGTCAGCTCCAGGTCCCTACAGGAAACCTCCCAGTCCTTCCCACCTCGCTGCATGCTAGTGGACAACTTTCAGCTCTGAGGGCCCTACTGCTGTCAGGGCCAGGGGTTTCTTGGGAGAGAAAATGTGACCTACGCTGCTCAGAAGGCCTGCTGCTCTCTCAAAACCACCGAGGCACATGGATCCTGTGTGTGGATGTGACCAGGGCAGGGTAGGTGGGGCATCTCCACCTGCTAATTCAGGGCAGCAGCAGGGAAGGTCTTGGCCTCTGGGCCTCAGGGGCATTGACTGACACAAGGCGAGTCCCTGGGTCCTCTGGATGAGGGAAGTGCACTCTGTACCACTGGGTTCTGAGATGCTTTCTTCATACGCATGCCTTATTCCACCTGAAGATAAGGAAAACCATGTTTTTTTTTTATTTTAAAGTAATCAATTCTATATACTTTCCTCTGTAGGCTCTCTTCCTCCAGAAGGAGAGACCCACTCCCCCAGGGCCTGGCTGCCAGGCTCCCAGAGAGCAGGATCTGAGGCTGCAATCCTCTTGGCAGGTCCTATCCCTGGTGGTCAGAGCCCCTGCTCTGACAAGTTCCATGGTGGCAATCAGGCAGGTCCGGATTCAAGTTGGGGGGCAGGCCCCTCCTCTTAATAGAGTGGCAGGCTAATACTTACACAGGGGTATGAAGTGCTGGTGCTATCTTTGGGACCCCCTGCGTGGCCATGATCTTTCTTTACTTACAACTCTAAGCATTCTATTAAAACTGGGAATTCAGGGCCTCCCCGGTGGCGCAGCGGTTGAGCGCTGGGTTGAAAAGCTGCCCGCGGCCTCTGCGGCACCGGTTTGATCCCCAGCTGCTCCCCTGCCACCGGAGGAGGGTCCCACATGGCGCGCAGACCTCTCCTGCCGCCCGCTGCTCCCCTCAGCAGTGTACTTCGGTCCTTCTGCCTGCTCTGCTCCCCGCTCTGGCTCTGGTGAATTCTCTCACCCTCCCACGCTTCTGACAGTACCCAGTGCATGTATAAACAAACAAACAAACAAATAAATAAATAAAATATGCCTCTATATAAAAAAAAAACAACTGGGGAATTCAGACCCAGTGGTATGGTAGACAATGAAGTAGGAGTGGGGTGCTGGGTCCGGGTGTGGCCCTGATATTAACCAATAGGATGCTCTTTAGTCTGTTTATTTTTTCAGGCTTAGTTCCTCATTTGTTACACTATGTGGTTGATAATTGGTGGGAGTCAGGAAGGCAAGATCATTTTTAAACTAAATAAAAAATGCAGGTCAAATGCTTGGCACAGAGCATGGTGTTGTCTAATGCTAGCAATTGTCCTGGTTCTCCAGCCTTACCATCCTGTGCCCTCTGGAAGGAAGCAACACCACTGCCTGGGGCTGGCTACCAGCAGAAGCTCCTCTGAATAGGGAGGAGGAAAGGCCCTGGACGACCTTACGGGAAGAGGAAAAAGTCTTTCTGAAATCCTGGGAACCCAACCCACCAACTTCCAAAATCCCCTTTCCCTCTGCTCCTCTTCCTTATTATGTGTTTATTTCCTGGGCTATGGAATACTTATGAACCCGGCTGAGGCGCGTTTCTGTGGGTCTGCTGTTCCCCTTCCTGGCTTGACAAGAGCATCGCCTCCAGGTGTTGAGCTTTCTGTGTGTAGATTCCAGGCTAAAGGTTTCAGACATGTTTGTTCTTTACTGCGGCCACCGGAGGGAGACATAACTCCTGTTTTCTAGAAAAGGAAAACCAGGCACAGAGAGGTGAAGGAACTTGCCCAAGGTCACAGAGCTAGGAGCAGAGTTTGGCTCCAGGCTGCTGGTTATGGAGCAAAAGGAGAAAAGCCCCATGGCTCTGAAGCAGTGGAGGTTAGTAGAGCATTAGCTTTTTTGCTACACTTTTCCAGGTTACATGCTCCCCCACCAGCACCGCAGGACGTGGACCGCCGGGGAAAAAAAAGGGGGGGGTGTGGGGTGGGGGACAGGGGAGGCCAGCAGCTAGGTAAGAAAATCCTTGGACACAACCTGGATTGCTTTCCCAGACCGGCCCCAGGCCACACTGCCTCTGGGTTTGAAGGTCCCTCAGCCCTTTTAGCTCCCAAGGGCCACTTGTATGAGTGGACAGGGAGTGGGGAAATGGAGGAGGGGTACAGGCTGGCTTGCGGAGGGCGAAGGGTTACTCTCAGGGACGCACAAACGGGTTAATATTTTGACTTTTCAGCCTCTGAGGTGCTGAACAGATCTATCTTTGGTGGTCCCGTGTGCTTTGCTCCATCAGCCGCCCAATTTTTTATGGGCTCCTGCCCATCGCAGACAGTTGCGGCGCCGGGCCCCTCGGCGCGAGTCTGCACACGCACTGGTCTCAGCAGCTCTCCGTTAGGCGCAGCTGTGGGAACTTGAAAACTAACAAACTGAAACCGAAACAGCGCGACGCCCAGCGTCGGGGCGGGAGCGCAGACTGGGAGCAAGGGAGGGGGGTGTGTTCACTGCGGGGCGGGGCGGGGGCGCCTCGTCGCCCCGCAAGACCCGGGACCCCGCGGTGCCCAGCGCCCGTTCTCAAGCCTGCTGCGGGGCTTCCTTCTGCGCTCTTTTATAGGGCAGGAGAAGGGGTGGGAACCCAAGGGTTCCGGGAACCGGGCCCCCAGGAATGGGAGGAGTCAGGGCGGGGCCCGCGGAAAAGCAAAGGGGAGCCCCAGCTTAGGGCTCAGAGGGCCTTGGGGCGTCTGGCGAGATGGCGGCGTGCACCCTGGGGCGCGGCGTGGGGCAGCTCTTGGGCAGCCTGCGCGGGCACTTGGGGCAGCAGCTGTGGCTGCTGCGCGGGGTGAGCTCGCCGCGCCGGGCGGCCTCGGGGCTCAGGGGCAGCGTCCCCGCCTCCGCGGCCGCAGCGCTGCGGGGCTCGTACCAGGAGCTGAGCGCGCAGGCGGTGCGGGAGCCGGCCGCGTTCTGGGGGCCGCTGGCTCAGGACACGCTCGTGTGGGACGCTCCCTACCACACCGTCTGGGACTGCGACTTCAGCAGTGGCAAGATCGGCTGGTTCCTGGGAGGCCAGTTAAACGTATCTGGTGAGTGGGCTGGGAGACACCCCAAACTTACGCGTGTCGAAGAGACTCAGATCGGGTGCAGGCATCCAGGGGCCTGGCAGATCACAGCATTCCTGGTGTCCCTTGCGCACCCCACCCCGCCCCCAACCCGCCGGGCCCCTGAGGCTCCAGCCGGGTCCCAGCTGCAACTCCGCACCCCGACTCCACTTTGCTCGGAGCAGCCACAGTCTGCAGAGACTCGGCCCGGGGTCCGCTTGGTCTCCCAGGTGCTGGTCGTGCCCCCGCTGGGCTCCTTCATCAGCCTCTCCAAAGTTTAATGACGGGATTGCCCGCACTTCTGAGCACAAGTCCGTGTGGGAGCAACCTGCGACTCCAGGGCCAGGCTGCGAGGCAGAGGCGCCCCAAGGAGAGGCTCCCTTCCCGCACCCGTGCAAGGAAGGGAGGTAAAAAGCCAGAAGTGCCTGGCTTTTGTGACGGCCAGCTGCTGAGTCTGCCATTCACCTGGGGGAAAACCCTGTTCATGTAAACAGAACGAACTGTGTCAGTGGCTCTGGGTTTTCCTAGGAATCCGTTATCTCCCAGTGCTGGCCTGGCCGGGGAGGAAGCAATGGCGGGACCTTGAGTTAGGTTTCAGCTGTGCCCCAAAGCCCCAGGGCTTACTTTAGACCTGTTGGCCATGGTGATCCCAGAAATCAGTCCCACCAGCCATTCAGTCTTCTGGGATCTACTGAGATCGAATCCACTGCTGTTCGTTAAGATTTTGGATAGAGCCTGGGGTGGGGTAGGGAGATATAACACTGTGTCCCCTCCCCACCCCCTACCCTGCCACCCCCCAGTAAATGGGGGTGGTCCAGGAACTGGAGACAGAAGTTCTGGGATTGGGGGTCCTGGGAAGGAGGGAATTTTCAGGTAGTAAGGATGACCAGAGGGGCTGTACTTCAGGGAAAATGGGGTGTAGGTTGGGTGGGACCTGGGGCTGTTCAACGAAGGACTTGATGATCTTCATGGCAGGGGTGTGCCCTGGCCAAGTCCCAAACTTTGAGGTAGGATGTCTCACACAACCCCTCCATTTACTGGTCCCATTGCTGGACTCCTCTGAGCCTCCCTCTACTCATTTATAAAGTGGGGGTGACAGCCTGTTCGCTAGGCTGGTTGTGAGGACAGAGTACCATAAGGTAAGGAATGGGGCTCTCCCATTATTGACTATCAAGTAGTAGTGACTTTATTATATTCAAAAATCACCAAAAATTATAGATGTTTAGTATATTACAGTTATTATTTCAAACAAAAAAACTCAAGGGAACTTTGCCCCAGATTTTTTTTTCATATTGTATACTACTTTGCTGGCTTAATCAGAATGAGTCACTTGCTAGATAAGTGTTTTCTCTAAAATTGAGCCAGCAGCAAGTGTCCTTGAACTAGTGGGGACAAAGACAAAACAAAAACAAAACCACAAACCCTTAGACTTGCAGAGTTGGTGGAATATGCTCTGCCCTGGAAGGGGAAGAGAGTAATTTGCTGAAGGAAGGGGGCAGAATGTGTGCAGCTCCTGGGGAAGCTGCCTGTGGACCCTGGAGACATTCATGGTTGGTTGAAGCAGCTGCAGCCTGTCAGAGACAGCCCTCATGAGGCAGCAGCGGGCACTATGTGAGCCTCCTTCCCTGGGTTGGGGTGTGATCAGCAAACAATTCTGTCTCCTTTTCCTTCACTTATTTGTCCTGAGGAGATAGCCTTTATGGCTGCCCTACCAGAAATTGAGCTTCAGAAAACTGCCTTGTAGAAAAAGCTTTTTTACTGCATTCTCACCTCAAATGTGTGATATCTATCAGCAATAGCTCTGTCCCTTGCCAGTGCCTGCAAGCCAGAGGTGACAGTAGGAAAAAGGACCAGATCAGTTTGTGGCTGCTGGAAGCCACCTAGAAAGTTGTTGAATAGATGAGGTGTTTTGGCCTTTCTATGTGATCATTTGCGTGATGACGGCTTATTTTACAGGAGCGTTATTCTGGAAACTCCTGGTTACCCCTTCAGGAAGATCTGTACCAGCTGTTATCAAAGTATGGTCCCTGCAACAGTAGCATCAGCAGCACCTGGGAACTTTTGAGAAATACAAGTTTTTGGTTCTGAATCAGAAACCTTCGGGTGGGGCTATATATCTTATTTAAGTAGCCCATCAGGTGCTCCTGAAGCTCTCAAGGTTGAGAACCACAGGCCTATTTACCCCAAAGGAGGATAGATGCAGGTACTTCTGAATTGGGTGACCTGGCATTAGTACCTGGAGGTGACTGTTAGGCTTGGTGGTGTGGTACAGGTCAGCATTTCTAGGTGTGTCTTTAATCATTCCTACTTTAATCATTCCCTTACTGTTGTTTGCTTTCCCCTTGCTGTTCTTTGCATGTTTCCTCATCTGAAAATAAGGATAGGGCCTCCCTGGTGGCACAAGGTATTAAGATGCAACCTATGAAGCTATCCACAACCACTACAGCATGAGTTTGATCCCTGGCCAGGGAGCAGTCCTCATGGTGCAGCAGACCTCTCCTGACTTGCCTGCTGCTCCCCTCAGTAGTGTGTTTCAGTACATCTTTCTGTTCTGCTCCCCACTCTGTCTCTGGTGGGTCCTCTCCCCTACCCCCTATATCTCTGGTCTGCACCCTAGCTCTTGTATGCATAAATAAATAAATCTTTAAAAAAAAAGAAAATAAGGATAGTATGTAATTGAATTCTAGTTACTATTGTTGCATATTCAACCACCCCTAAGCTTCTGGAATAAGACAACAATGTTTTTATTACTCTCACAGATTCTGCAGGTCAGGATGTTGGACAGGGTCAGCCAGGATGGCGCCCTCCTGCTCCCCACCTTTGCTGCAGTTGTGATCTTGCTGCTTCCTCCTCTCCCTGGGACCTGGGCTAGGAGTATAGCCCATGGTACCTAAACAGGGTTTCTCAGAGCCTGGTGCCTCTGAGAGTGAGTGAGCCAGAGGAGTTGGTGAGCAGGGGTTTCGGAGACCTGGGCAGAAGCTAGACTTGTGACCATCTGTGCTTTACGTGGAGACACCTTTGTGAGCACTCAATTAGAACACTCTTTTCAAGTGTTCAGCACTGTCTTTCGTGTGTTATGCTTACCCAATCCGTGACCTTTGTTATTTATTAATGAAGTGGGTCGGGATAGGGACATGGCTGTGACCTTGAACCTGATCTTCAGCTATGTTATGGATAGTGGTGTGTTTCTTCTAAATAGAATCACACAGGTTTGCATCTGATCAGCTGGGACATGAGGAAAGCAGGCTGTCAGACAGGTGACTCAAAGCCCATCCCTGATAGCCAGGTGGTCGGGTGGGGTCATTGTGTCAGAGCCCTTCTGGGCAGGAGAGGGTGGACTCCACCCCTGTCAGTGACTCACTTCTATTAGTTTTTTGTAAAACTGCTTTGCAGAAAGTTCTAGAAATGATTCTTTTCAGTCTGAAATTTGGCACTGTCCTCCATGGGTCTCAACAGATGTTTTTGCTCAATGCATGAGGAAGTTGCAAATGCAGAATCAGAGTCATGACATGTGTTGCTTTCAAAACACACAAACTATTTTCTAAACAACAAATTCTGAACGCTATTTTTTAAAAAAGTGTGTGTTCTTACATTCAAGCAAAGCTATAGAGAAACTACTCTTAACCAAGTGTTGAACACAGGTTTCTTGGCTGCCTTTTAAAACACTAGCTGTGACAATGGAAACCATTTTACTTTTTTTTTAATACTCTGTGACATTTCTCCAATAACTCAGAAGGCAAACACACTAAGGATCATGAGATGACCACTCCACTGCTTCATTCTTTTCTCAATGATTAAAGTAACATGCCCAAGGTCTTTCAAGGAGCTGTAAGTAAGAGTGTAACCCCAGGTCTTAGGAGGAGGTTCTGCAGAAGAGACTGATGGCTCCCCAGTTGTCCAAGGCAAGCCTTACTTTAAATAGCAGATGCTTCTGGAAAGTTGGCAAATGCAATTTTGTGACTGATGTAATATCTTAAAATGGGCCAGGGAGATTTTCTATTTAAAGAAAGTCCATTGTGAATCGTTCTGTGAATATTAACTCCCTTGTTTCTTGTGATTCAAATTGAAGTTTTGTGTGTGGGTTCACTTAAAGTTGAGGGGGAGGGATGTATTTAAACAACTGATAAGAGTGAAAATGCCCACCTAAGTGTGTACAATCTTTATAATGGAAATGATCATCCTCTTGTGATCTCTAAAAAAAAAAGCAAAACACCTAACAACACAAAACCCCAAGCTCAGGAATCACCAGCTGGCATTTGCTTAACTGCCTGCAGAGCTGGGTCAGACCCTGGACACAGTGCTTAGCTGACCATGACTGAACCTCAGGTCACCAATGTGAAGTCATCAGTGGTCCCATAGTTCAGAAGTAGAAATAAGGTCTCCTACTCATATGCAGAAAATGCTCCAGTGCCTTAGAGGATGGACTGTAAATCTGTATATGAGAAGATCCACACTGGGGTAAATCTACTTGCTCAAGGTTTTTACAACTAAGAGAACCATGGTACTAAGAACCCTGCTAACCTTCCCCGTGATAGAGAAATGAATCTTAGGGACCTGGACCCTCTCCTTAGGCACCTTGGGACACTGATGGGGGAGGGCATGAGCAGAGCTAGCTTTGTGTCCTGGAATGGGAACCACAGGGCAGAATAAGGAAACACTAAATGGTGTGGGCCATTGAGTAGTGGAAGGGGGGCACTCCTCCTGTACTGGGAAATTGGGAAAAGACTTGACTTAGGGGTGGCCTTTGAACTGAGCTTTAAATTGCCCTAGGTCTTTGCCTAACTCTTCTCGCTAATGTTTGGAAAAGGAATTGTTTTTGTCCCACTGCCCAGTTTTTTGGATGGAGTTTTTTTTTTTTTTTTAATGCAGAGATGAAAGATTTTCTTCCTTTCTCTCTCCTTTCTTCTTATTTTATTCCTTTTCTCTGCAGTTGAGGCAATGGCAGGGACCATAAATATGTGTTAAAAAAGTCAACAAACACATGGCATTTTAGGACCATTATCACCTCAGACCCTGCACTGTGCTTTCTCTAGGTGAATGGGTCATCTGAGTGTCACCATAGCAGCTGTGGACAAAGATGGGAGTTATTCATCTATGTTTCCCTTGGAAACGCTGCCACACCACCTGACCCTGTAACAGGGAACTCTGAAATGATGCCTAATTCTTACAGTCACCACCAGCAACCGTTCCCCTCAACTATGGATAGGAGAGTGATATGTAGATTAAATAACAAGTGTGTCTTTGATGGTTAGTGAGTGGTTGACCAGGGGCCTGACTCTAGAGTGGAGTTTTGTTGGTGACTCCAGGCTCCATTTTCTGCAAGGACATGGCCAGATGTTTTGGAGGATGCATGTAGAGGAGCACATGCGGGTGTTGCTACACACCGTCTGCCAGCTTGAGCTCCTGCATTAGCAGCAGTGTTGCCCCTGGGGACCCTGATGAGGAAGCTTGAGCACTGGCAATCCTCAGTGGAGGATTTGGGTGGGCTCCCCACAATTTCTGTGCTAACATTCTCTGGGAGTTCTGGGGGATCTAGAGTCACTGATTTAGGCCCCAAAGACACTTTCTTCTTGAGGGCTGGGACTGTAAAGATCAGAAGCTCATTTCTTTCCCTTGGCATGGGGCTGATCTGGTGTCATTTAGACTTGAATGGTTGTTTGCTCAGGGTTAGGATGCATGTGGATAAACACAAACAGGATGTCTGGCTCTTGCCCACAGAAGGGCAGCAAAATATAAAAATCTCAGGAAGAGTAAGAGGAGGCACAAAGGAAAGGAAGTATGCTAGGAAAGAATGAGAGCAGAAGACTGGAGCCAGGTGAATGGAAGCAATGAGGGGAGTGGGGCAATGTTCCCCAGGTAGAGAGAAACCGTGCAAAAGCCCTATGGCAGGGGCACTTACCAGATTCATCACAGTCAGCAGGGCCTTGGCAGTCACTGTCTAATTCCTCCCATGTGCAGGAGAGACACCTACGGGACACTTTACCTGGGGGTCAGGACATACTTTGGATGCTGTCAGTTCTGCCCCATGCTTGTATAAACAAGGTGCAGGATAACCTGCTGGACTCGGAGGCTGTAAGGGAAATCACTAGTCTTGAGCCCTGGCTACCACAGGTGCAGGCACTGTGGGGAGGTGAACTCCAGTAAAATATCTGCATTTTCCTTGGTAGGCTTTGCACAGGTCACTGGACCACCAGAGCACCCACAGACTATTTCCCAAAATATACCTGAGCCCGTTACTTTTTGGGGTGACTCAGAGGGTCCAACTCAGTTGGAGCAGGTGTGTCAGAGTGTACACGCACATCTCCTGGGGGCTTTCTGGGGTTCGGTCTGGGGTGGGGCCAAGAGTTGGCATCTATATCCAGCTTCCTGGTGATGCCCAGAGCAGCACAGTACTCTGAGGAGCAATCATGTACCTGTGGAAGCAGCACCCTCCTCCTGCTGGGCACTGAGGGTCTGGGGTCCTCAGCCTGGCATTTTGGAGGCAGTTGTGACCTGCCTAGGGTCACTGTTTCCTGTTCCATCAGTTAGGGCCTTGCAGTAGGAGTTGAGGGTAGGGAGTGGATGGTGGGAAAAATAGGGATTTAGGGAAGGGGCCCCTGCTGAACTTTGGTTATCACCTCAGCTTGCAGGCCAAGGTGTGGCCTCATCTGCTGATTGTTTAAGAGAAGCCTGGAATTTGTGTCTTCACTGCGAAATCTCTTGATTTTTAAACTTTGGACTGGGTTGAGACACAGACCCACTAATGTGGGTTTGGTGTGCCATCAAGTCTCTCCTTCTCAGTTTGTCGTCTTGCTTTCCTCTTTCATGGCTGGGGTATTTCTTCCCTTCTGTTTTTCTAGTAATTCAAACAACCGTCTGTCATTAGCAGTATTAGTTATTTTTTCCATGACATTTATCTTCAGCCATTAATTTTTTGAGGTATAATTAATGCACCTGGACATTGGGGTGATTCTGAGAGACCAGGCAGCAGATGGCTGCTGGCCCTAAAAGCTGTTTGTGATATTCATTTCCCTGCTGATGGGGAAGTGAGTAATGGAAACCTGCCTGTGGGGCTGGTTGGGAGGGGTTCTGGGATTAAGCAACCTGTTATGCGCACCTTGAAATCAAGAGTCATGAACAGGATGTTAGCAAATGAACACGATCCCATTAATCTGCAGGTTTACAAGATTACAGGCAGAACTGACTTGTTTTGGGCAGTCATGTGACCTGGGCTTGGGTAATGGAGGGGGGAAGGGGAAGAGTCTTCCGGAAAAACAGCCTGCCATTTCCCCATAGTTGCATCATCACTTCTTGCAGCAGAGGCTGGTTTGTAAGGTGCTGGCTGGACACCCAAGAAGGGGTACCACCTTTGTCCTGGATGGCATCTCTACCACACTCCAGAGTCCCATGCATTGAAGGCCTGTTTGCATTAAGTATTTGTTCCAAAGGCTCAGTCTGTGCTTCCCAGTGCAGACGCACATTTGAACCACCCAGGGAGCCATGGGGCTAATTGGGTGAGTGTCCCTCAAGTGATGCCAACCTGTGTTTGGGGTTGGGACCATTGACATGAAGCACCTGCGTTAGAGAGTTCCCAGTGAGATCCTGTTTGTGCTGTGATGGTATTGTCTTGGCAGGCTCTGACAATCTCCCTATTTTTAAGGAGGTAGAAATCTCACCTTTGAGGAGAGAAGGATCCTGTTCTGCACAGAGTATCATAAGCCACAGCAGACAAGACCCTCCCCTGGTTTCCACTCTAGAAGCACTAAGTGTAATAACAGCCATAAACCTGTTTCTGTGCAGTCAACTGCTTGGATCGACATGTTTCGAAGAACCCAGAGAGCATCGCTTTAATCTGGGAGCGAGATGAGCCTGGAACTGAAGTGAGAATCACCTACAGGTACTGTGTAAACACTGGTGGCACCTGGAGCCTCTGTGCCACACTTTCTGGTAATGCTGGCACTGAACACCTCTGTGAGCCGGGCTGTTAGTGGGAGCAGGATGGCCCAGTTTGCCGGAGGCCTGGCCTTCAGCTAACCTTGTCAACACTGGGTATCTTTAGATTCACACCGAAGAAACTGGGTCTTGGGAAGCAAATATGGCAAATGTTGAAGGCAGTGGCCTTGCACAGCCTGGTGTGCCTGTGTCTGCTCTGGGTGAGGGCTGTCTGAGTAGCAGGAAGCATGTTTCAGCCTCAGGAATGTTCTCTTATCCCAGGACAAGTAAATGTGAACACAAGCTGGAGCAATGCCCAGCAGCCCACACACAGCCTCTTACTCTGTGCACTCGGGAGAGAGAGAGATGATAAACACATTGAGTCTTTTAAAGAAGGGGTAGACGTGACATTTGTGTTCTCTGACTCTCTATGCAAATTCTTCACACATTTTCCATTCCAAGCACCCTTCACTTGCCATCTGTGCATCAGGGAATTTGAATGTGCCCAGAATGAGTGACCTTCTTGCAGGGAACTGCCTTGCTCTGAGGTGTCTGTGGTCTGTCCCTGCAGGGCATTGGTTTGGCATCCTCTTGGGTGAAACCCACTTTGCTTGAGACTGAACTTATCTGCAGTGCCTTCTCGGACCTTCTGTAAGTCTGAGTCTTGTGTCCTGGATCATCACTCCCTACCTCCTTGAGCATTTATGAGCATGCTCACACTGCTAGTGGGAGGCTTAGGGCTTTTCCTATCTGATGACTGTATCACTCAGGACAGGCCAGCTAGGTTGTAGCAACACCCCCCCCCCATCCCCCAACACAGGGCAGAGTATGACTGTGGTCACTTTAGGTGGAATTGTCAGACAAATCCTCTCTGAGGAGGTGATATTTAAGCTGAGGTCCCATTCACAAGAAGGAGCAACTGTGAGAAGTTTGGGGAACATCCCAGACCCACCCAGGTGGTGCCAAGGAGGGGAGTAATTGGAGGTGTCCTGGGAACAGAGAGTGGGCGTGGGAGGCTAGGCCGATGGGAGTGAGGGGATTGAGCTTGACGGGGTGTTCAGGGAAGCAGGTGTAGGCCTCTGGGAATGGTATTCACACTACTGCCACTTGGGTAACTTAGGGGCCAGCGGACAACCCTAGTTTTCTGTTTGTTTATTGAACTCAGGTTTTATCACAGACCAAATTCCCCATACCTGATAAAACTGTATGCAGGTTGTCTTTGGGCCACAGCAAAGTGACATTAGTTAATCTGTTGCTCCAGGTGGACACCATCCACTCATCCCTCCACCTCTCCAGCCCACCCCCAACCAGTCACCAGTCAATAATGGTGGTTGCCTCACCACTCTTCCCATATTGAGAGCTTGGGACCTGCAAGATACCTCCCCACCCATGCTGCAGGATCATTACCTGGGAGCTCTGACTCCACTGAAGCCTGAGAATGGAGCTCTTGGAAACCAGCTACATCAGGATCCTCGGCTTGGGGGTTAGCTTGCAGGACAATCATTAACACATCTCGTTCCTTAGATCATCTTAGAGCTTCTAATATACCTTAGGGTCCCTTAGTAACCAACAACGCCATAATCCTCAGTAGGAAACCACTGCTCTACTCACAAGAATCCCCACTATTTTCCATAGGTCCAGGCAGACACGTGTGTGTATGCACACATGGGCATGTGCACACATGCACTTGTATATAGACATTGTAAACGTGCTCATTCATCAGTTTCTATGTCTTGTTCTTTGTGTTCAGGGATTCATCCCAGACACAGGAGGCAGGTGTGGTCCTGCCTCCTGCTTGGGAGGCCGTGACCTGGGATTATATGCCTGGGGGTGGGCTCCCAGGTTGCCTTCAGGAGTCTGATATGCTGGGTGGTTGTGTGTATTTGTAACTCACTAGTGGGTGCCAGTTCTGAGGTATACACTTAAAGGGTCCAGGCTTTGGGGGTGCATTCAGCAGCCAAAGTGGGCCTTGTGCTGTGGTGGGGGTCTCAGAGAAGGAGAGCCACAGTGGCAGTGATTATGTGGAGGGTCCTCCTTCAGATATGCAGTGCTCACCTCCTGCAGAAAAGCGACGTGGCCAGAGCTCTTTGATTGGCAGAGCAGCCTTCTTCAGCCCAGAGAGGTGCTCAGAGCTGGCTTAAGGAAGCCATCTTAGGATCCATAAGTAATAACCAGGATGTCCCCGCTCAGGACACCACCCCTGAGCTCCTCTTGCAGTGCCTGTGGCTTTCAAGGGCAAGGGCTGCAGAGGCCAGCGGAGGTGCAGATAACCTGGGAGGCTCCCTGAGGCTGTGTGGCCAGATAGCATCCGGCTGTTATTTCCAGCTGTCCCTGTGCTTCTCCAATATCGTGCCTGTTGTCGAAGTTGTCTTCTTTTTTTTTTTTTATTAAAGATTTATTTATTTATACAAGAACAAGGATACAGGCCAGAGGCGCAGGAGGGTAAGAGGATTCACCAGAGACAGAGTGGGGAACAGAACAGGCAGACTGACCAAATACACTGCTGAGGGGAGCAGCGGGCGAGACAGAAGAGGTCTGCCGTGCCATGTGCCCCGAGGACAGCAGGGATCGAACCGGCACTGCGGAGGCCCCGGACAGCTTCACAGCACTGTGCTCAACCACCTGCGCCACCAGGGAGGCCCCCTCGAAGTTGTCTTCTTATCTCACTCAAGTAGGCAGATTCTAGAGGTCCCCTGGGAAGCACAAATCCCCTTTTTTTTTTCAGGATAGTAGTAGTGGGTTCTTGGGTAGATTCATGAGATGTCAAGCCTTCAGTCTGCCTAGGCTAGTGTAGACTCTCCCTGCCTGGATCCTGGGGGTTTGATCAAGAATTTGCACGGTGGGAATGGACCCTCGGTGTAGAGTGTAGCAAATTAACCTGTGGGCACTTAACCTGTGGGTGCCCATCTGTGGGTGCCCAAAAACGGAGGGGAGAGCAGTGTGGGGGAAGCTCATCTTTTACCTGAGGTTCTCTGAAGAGGGATCTGAACTTGAACTTCACCCCTTTTAATTAAGCCATAAAACCAGGTTTTAGTTCTGTCAAGTTCTGTCATCTTGAGGCCCATCACTCTGGGCCTCAGTGTCCTCATCTGCGCAAGGAGGGATTAGATGAGACCAGAGCTGTGCTAGCACTAGCGGGTGCAGGTCAGTGCAGTGGTGAAGTGGGTTGTGAAGCAGTAGAGCAGCACCTGGTGCCACACTGTGCCAGGCAGGGCAGGTGAGGTCCTGGGTGTGCGCAAGAAGTGAGCTGAGTGGTTTTCACTGTGGGCCAACAAATTTACCTGCTGGGGGTGATTCCTATAGCTACTCCTTCTTAGGGGTTGGGGTTGTGCGCAGTGAGGACACCCCATCCAGAGAAGCAGAGTGGAGGTCAGGCCTCCCTCCACCCTATCTGTTTCACAACCTGTCCAGTCGAGGGGGTCAGCTTTGTCCCTGGACATGACAGTCAGGGAAGTGGTGTTATTGAGACTACATGGCCCAGTGCATAATGTGGAAGGTCCCCTGGGGGACACACATGATGGGCTCAGCCCTTCCGGGATCCCCTCTGGAGTGACTAGACCAACATACCTGGGCAAGGGGAGCTGCTGCTTGTGGAGGTCTTGCAGACCTGCAGGCACCTTGTGGAGAGGCTTGTTGGTGTTCTTGGCTACAGATGTCTTCAAACAGGGCCACTTAGTAAGGACAAAACAGTGGCCAGTCTCTGTGGGCTCCACGGGTGGACAGCAGGCAGCCTCACCATGCACACACCTGTGGGGATAGACTTTGGGGCGGTCCTGTGGAGGCTGGGTTTTGAGAGGCAAAGGGGGGAGAAGGTGTGGTGATGCAGGCAGAGGTGCAGCGCAGTTGAGTGCGTGGTGGGGTGCAGGCCCAGGCAGGAGGCCCTGCTGCATGCTTCTCTGTGCCTGGCTATGGGTGACTTGGCAAGTCATTCCACCTTCTGACCCTCTGATTTCTCCACTGCAAAATGCAAATGTTTCTTCTCTCTTGAGTGGCTGAGTGTCAGCAGGACCCAGAGATGAAAGCCCAGAAAGGTGGCATCTGGGAGGATGAGGCTCTACATCAGCTGCAGGTGGAGGCCGTTGAAGGAAGGTCTGCAAAGGATTTTGGAGTAGAGGAGGGGCTTCAGGGCCTGGAGGTGTGGGGTGTTTTCAGAGTGAAGACACACAGCTAAGTTAACTTGGGAGAATAATCAAGCCAGCTGAGAGCCAGCCCCTCCCCCTTCTTGTGTGCCTGACCTTTGCACCTTGATCTTCTCCTCAACCTCAAATCATTATTTAAGTGAGCAAACTCCTTTATTAAAATATCAAGGGAAAAAAATATCAGGGTAATGAGAGAACCCTTAACTGGCATAATGGTTTAGTGGGTGGGGTGCCTTGGGGTGAACAGCCCATGATTGGCTATGCTCCGCAGGACAGGAGCCTTCTGTCACACAGGGCAAAGTCTGTTTGCTTAATGGGCTGCCCAGGAGGGAGGAGAGGCCAGTTTGTTGCATCCCCCACCTAAGAGGAGGGCAGAGCCCTGGGCAGTGCTTTTTTCTCTGCTGACCTCTGACTAACTCCAGTTGCAAAACTTGTTCTGGAATCTGCATGCTGACTTCCCAAATCTGATAGAAATAGGTTTCTTGGAATGTCTGGCCTTTGACCAGCACCTCTGGGTCCAAACCCAGAGATTGAGAAGCATCTTGAATCTTACTGTATTTGACTGCTTGTTTTTCTTTGTCCTTCTGGGAGAGCTAAGGCTCTTGGGATATCATCTTTTGTGATGGCCACATCCTGAGACTACAGCAAGAATGACCACTGTGAGTCTGTCGTGAGGTCAGGGAAACCTCCATGGTGGGTACTTTCCTGGGTGAAGAGGGCATAAGTTTACTTGGAGGAACACACATAATCTGAGGTCTCCCTGGAAGCTGATCCCTTTTGCCATTCAGGGCTTGTGGGGGTGGGCTAGTGGTGAAGGGGCAAGCCT